AGTTATTGTCAGACCAGTGTTTCCAGGATGTGTTTTAGTTTGAACCGAACTCTGCATCAGGGGGCTTGCCGGCCGAACCTGCAGTAGATAAATCAAACAAGAACAATTCACACCCGGGTTTCACAGACTGCAGTTATCTGGCCCATCACCGATCTTTGAAAAACCCGAGATGCCGACAAAATTGCTCACTTGGCAACAGTGTGGTGACTAAAAGAGGACAGTGGTTGGTTTTCAGACCTTATCAGCGATAGATAATACCGGTGGCCGTCAAATGCCGTCATCAAAATCATCAAGCAAATATGCATCGCATTTACTGATCAAGTTTCCAGTTATTAATAATCAAAGACAGCTCTAAACAGGTGGGTTTTTATCCTGGATTTAAAAGAACTCAGTGTTCCCGCAGTTTTGCAGTTTTCTGTACGTTTGCTCCACATCAGAGGAGCATCAAAATCGGATGCTGCTTCTCCGTGTTTGGTTCTGGTTCTGGGGATGCAGAGCAGTCAACAGTCCAAGTTGCCTGAGGCACCATCTGATTGGCACTCTGAAGATTTCTATTAGAGGTGTTGAATAATTTGGAGGCCACAGTGGACACTGGAAGTGTTTTAAATGTTGTGTAATTAGCTGTGCAGAGGGGTTGAACACTTTGTGCTGAGGTTTATGGAAATGAAAGTCTCCTCATCATCTGCTCATGTTCCTCAAACAGGAGATTTAACGGTTCTGTTTGATGTTTATTTCACCATCCTGCACCCTGTCTGCTCTCTCTGCCACACGCATGCACACGCGTATAAACACGCACACACACAGGTCTGGTGAGTCACAGCATTAGCAGTCATATCGATTTCTACCTCTATGCTCCTCCTAACCTGTTGAAAGGGAAAAGTCCACCTGCTGCTGTCTGAGGGCAGGTCCAAGCCACCGCAGCAGATTAATAATCTCAGAGCTGTTTTGTAATATTATTATGACTTCATTGAATTACAGTGCGTTAATGTAATCAGTGTCTTACTGTTTCACTGTGATACACAAACCACTCCCTTCTTAACGTCATTAATCCTGTTTATCCAGTCAGCATCGACACAAATGTCATTAAATGTCATTAAGTTTCTCTTTTACTGACTTATTCGATCTTTTTGTTTCATTGGAGCTGATTGTACAACATAAAACTGCAAATTGTCCCTCTTATCGGCACCATGTCTAAATTATGGGAAATGGTCATGGCCATATTTTGGTCGATATTGAACTCATGATTATTTGAATTGATTATTCATTGCTAAGAAAAACTGTATTGCAGTTGGAGAAAAGTGAATTGCCAATGTTTATTTATTTATTTATTTATTTATTTATTTATTTATTTTGCTAAACACTGCTGCTGCCTTCACGTTCGTTTCAATGTTTTCCAGTTTTCATATTTTCATCCCCGTCTTTTTCCCGCTGTGAAGTGTTTGCCGATGCTACTCCTTCTTTCCTCCTTCAGCCATCTTTAATGTCAGACCTCAACATGGAGGTGAGGCCCTCCAGGGGGCAGAAGTGCTCATCAGTCAGGAGATATTACAAAATAAGAGAATACTCGTGAAGTAGAATGTAAAAAATAATTGTGTAATCATTTATTGTATTCCATGTCTGGAGAAATGTGGAAAATAACAAATTAGTATGAATGAATTCTTTACTATAAATTTTGCTAGAAAATACTAATTTCATTCAGAAACATAAAAATCAAAATTTCAAAACTAACTCTTTTCTTGAGCTGGTTAATACTTAAAGAAATCTTTGTTTTTTGTTTTTTTTCATACACACATTCATTCCTAATTGAAAAACAGTAATTTCCCTGGTTTTGTTGACCTGTGGCTCATTTTGATCAAAACTGAAACATCATAATCTGTAGAATGTGTGATAAGATCTGTTCTGTTTAGAGAAATTTTACTTTTATATATTTTTGAGAGCTGCTGTAAGTTACCTCACATGCTAAACATGAAAAAACAGTGAAACAGCCACTTAACAAACTGCCGTTAGTGACGTCTGCTGTGTGAACATTTTCAACCTAAACATGTTTTGTGCTTAAATGTCTTGAATGATGGTTTCAATCAAGCCTTTGGAACAAAACAATCCCTTAACATGATGCTGCCGCCACCGAGCTTCACCGTTTGTACGACGTGTTTAGGTTTGAAAGCTTCATCTCGATTCCTCCAAACATTTTGATTAAGAGCTCAGTCTTTGTCGTTCAGCTCATCCATGTTAGGAGCTTGGAAGCTTCAACATAGGAAACCAAACGGACTTAGAGTTTACTAATTCATTTAGGGAGCATGTATATATCTGAGTCTCTATGTCATTTATTGAACTCCAATATGCACAAGTGTGTGAATTCCCACTTGTTGATGTGATGAATTCCCCTTTGTTTCTGCGGTTTGGGCCATTTTGGGGCTACGGTTGAGTCACATCTGGACCAGTGGGTAGATCATCTGTGGGATAGCACATTATCAGCTGACTGCAGCGCCGTGTGATGTTTTCCCTCGCCGGGGTCAGGGAGAGTCTGCTCTCCAGTGCGGGGAACGACCCCAGCCTGACATACAGACGCTACTATTTCAGTGTTCTGGCCTCGTGGCCAAAAAGCTGTCAGCACATATTTTATCCTTTCGCTCTCACAGTATATTTTCGCCTCCCCCTCCATTTCTTTCCGGAACGCTTGTCTTATGGCAGCGGCGCATCCTCTCTGTGCACGTTGGAGGGGAATGGGCCCTGTTAATCACCCAATATGTGAAGGATTTATAAAAATCATGTATTTAAAATTCTTTGATTTGACTTTTCCGCGTGTTCTCCTGCAACTTGATTGTTTTTGTCAGAAATGTTCCACTCGGCAGCGTTCAGGGCAATTCCCCAGAGTGTTCTCCTCTAGAGACTGACAGAACTGGCATTCAGTTGTTACTGAGTCTCCCTGATAGGTGTGTTCTTCTGGACCGCACACCTTGCTTCTGAACACCCTGAGCAGCAAGTTTTCCAGGTCCAGCCCAGAACCAGCCGGACCACTTCCTGCGTGTCTGATATTTCCTTTTTTCTCCCCTCTAGATCTGTCCTTCAAGACCCAAACTGGATGATTTTTAAAAAAGGCCACTAGCATGCCGCTCTGTTATTAGATAGATTTCACAAACTCAGACCCAAAAGTCTCACATGACCCTCTGCAGCGCAGGCTCTGATTCAACCCGACAGGAATTCTTGGCACAGACCGCCCACTCCTTTCACTGGCTGCTGTTCAGCTGTCATACTCACTCACTGAAGTTTTCTCTGCTTAATCGTTCTGCGCAGATGACGGCGCTAATGCGAGCCGCAGCAATCGCATGCGGCGTGTTTGTCCGTAGACAAGCTGCGTGTTAAATGTCGGCCATGAGGCCGCGCAGAGAGCCGCCGCTGCAGCGCAACAAGCTGCGATGATTCCCAAAGTCAGGTTCGAGGAAACTGCAGGGAAAATCAGTCTGTCTGCTGGAAATGGAAGCGTTTGTCATGCTTCATTATGTTTGGCTTTCCTTGGAGCGGGTTTAGTCTCCAGTCAGTCATATCTAATACAGTTTTAATCCTGTTAGTGTATCATTTTATTTAGTTTAGCAAAAATATGGATGATGGAAATAGTGTCGCAGGTGTGTCATGAATTATGTAGCACTTGTAGTGGCAAGTCGATTTTTTTTTTTTGTTACAGCTTTTAAAAACAAAAGTCTGACATCTGCTGTGAACGTCAGAACTAAATATAAAATATCATTTTTAGAAATGCATTCATCCAGCGTTCACTGGCTGATACAGATGTTCTGTAAGTCTTGAAAGGCATGTTTATTCTCATATTTGAACATAGATTGTCTTTACATGGATTACATCAAACAAAAACTCATTGCTGTTAATTTTGTTCCAACCCAACAATTAAGGGTATTTCCACTCCTCATAGTCCTGTAGACTCTGTTCGATTGGGGACAAAAGTTGCAACATTTGTTCCATTTTCAGCTGCTGCGGTTCAGTTTCTCACTGCACTGATCAAACCAACCAAACCCTTTGAGCAACCCGTTCCCTCCTCGCCTCTGGTGGCGCTGCTTCAAGAACCACTGAAGGAAACATGAAAACCTCAGAAGAAGACTCTGAGCGCCACTTCCTTCTTTATGAAATGTTAACAAAAATTGAGTGGTGTCAGATTTTAGTGGTTGTAGGATTTCTCTTTAGACTTTGGTAAAAGACCACAAGCTATTTCTCCTGCCAGCGCGAGACCCTCACATTTTGTTGTGGTAGTTTTTACACAGAGAGCCCTGCACTGTAGTCCACTTCCTGCTTTTGAAGTGGTCTTTGGTCCACTTGTTGTTCACATCCATTCACACTGTACCAGAGTTCACTTTAATCAAACTTGGAGCGTTTCGCTGAGTGGACCAGAGTCTGCTTTTTTGGTTGGCATTAGGTTTCAAACTAGAGTTTGAATAATGCAGACTAAACAGGGCGGATGAATGCCCCCTAAATCTAAAAATAAATAATTATGACAGAAAAAAAAGTATTGAGAATATTTATGTATTTAAATACCAATAGTTTAATCAAGAAATGCTAAAATGTCCATTTTATTTTCAATTACAAAACAAAAGAAATTTTCCACTTAAAATTTTCAGCAAGATTTCTATGTTACAATGATAAAAAATAAAAACATCACAGTTTCACTTAAAATGCAAAAAAAAAATAAAAATAGACGATCAATTAGTCAGGCCATCTGCTCAGGTAGAACCTGCAGTCAGCTGTGATCATGCATGTCGTAGTTTTTAAACAGCATAACTGAGACAGGGGGCGCTCTTTTAGGTTCCATATTTTGACTGTGTGCGTCTTTGTGACTGCCGATTATTTCCAAATGGCTGATATTGTCTTTCTGTTTTTTGAGGATTTTTTCAGCCAGCTGACTGGAAGGTTGCAGCATTGATTGATTAAAAGGACTTTAAAGGACAATGAAATGACTGTTTTAGAAGATTTTCAAACCTTTCATGCATTAAGCAGCAAAAAATTAGTAATTTTTATTGAAGCGGATTGCTGAATTTCCACGGCTTCCATCAGGAGATCATCAGAGTGGAGGCAGCCAGAAAGGTAAATAAACAAATAAACACGTTCACAGTCCTGGAGCAGAGCAGACCATCACAGCCTTTCTGCTGAGAGGGGAGCGCTTGTTTACTGCAGCCCCACAGAGCTGCGGGTGGGGCTGTTTGGGTCGCCCCTGGGTGCTGCCTGCTGCTCCTGGAAGGCGGACGTGCGGTGAATGACGGTGCACATGGCTTAGTGCCACCGCTGCCACCTGAACCTCCCTACACACACACAAACACAAACAGAGGAGTGTGTGAGGTCACAGACATCAAAACAACCTGCCTGCGGCCATCTCCAGTGTCAAAATAAGCCTCTGGAAGCTTACCTGGGTTTTTTTTTTTTGTTTTTGTTTTTGTTCCCCACAGTATTAAATCCTTTTATTTCTCTCTGCATACACACTCACAGATTCTCCCTGAAACACACAAACACACCGCTGGCCTGCTGTTTTTTTTCCTCACAATGTTTTTTTTCCTCCTTTTTCCAGCATTGGGAGGTCTGTACAGTAAATCAATCCCGGCGCCGTTGCATAATGGCGTCCAGAACACCAAAAATAATCACCCTGTCAGCTGGTCCCCTCTGGCTCTCGCTGACTCCCAAAACTAGAAATCACAAGGTCCCTCTCCTGTTTCCAGACAAACAGCCGTGTTTACACGGAGCCGTGCTACGGAGCACGCTCCGCGCTGTCGACGCCATGTGGACGGTGCGCCAGCGTTTCCACAGATAAGCAACATCTGGTCAACACGATGCTGCAGGAGGAGCGGTGTGCATTCTCCACACTGCTGGTGACGACATGCTAAAAGTCTCCAGTTCCATTTATTGGAGCAACGTGATCTCAGATATGATATAAGCTTATTATATGATAAGCATCTGTGTAATCACCTCAACCTGCCTGCTTTTGGTTATGCATTTTCACGGGGGAAGTATTAAGAGTTAGTGAAGGGTTAAAATATGCAGAATTCCTGGGATTCATCCAGGTTAGGAAACAGTTTGCACAGTTAATATAAACCTACCTTTACATAGTCCCATGCTGACCTGTCATATTGACCTGGAACCAGCAGCCAGGCTGGCGGTGAAGCTGAAACTCTGAAAACATGCTTGTTTTTTTTTATTTTATCTTTCATCCAGCTCAGGTTTGTTGTTGCTCCCTTTCTCCACTCTCCGCATTTAAGTGCTTCTTTTTCTTCATCTTCCATCGCACATGTTGCCGCCGTCTTGTTGCGAAACGCAGCTTTTATTGATGTAACAGGTGCTTAGCTCGACTGTGGCAGTCAAAATACCACATCTTCTCCTCTGTTTGGCTTTCAGAGTGGAAGCTAAAGTTAGACATCTTTGAGGTTTTTCTGCCAATTGATGGAAGGTGATGCCGATGCATAATGCATGAAGAGAGGGGGAAGACTTTGTCTGGCTGCTTTTTATAGACCACCAAAGCTCTCCTACGCCACACACACTTGCACTCGCACACACACGCGCACTTCTGAGGCACTCTGCGCTGTAACCTCTCACAGATCAAGAAGGCAGGAGGCATGAGAAGAAACAGGAGTCTAGCAAACTGGCAACATTGTCGAGAATAAAAAGGAGGAAAAAAGGAAACGACAAGACGAAACAGAAATGTCGACGCGCTATTTTCAGACGGCAGGGTCGTTTGATGCTCCAACCAAACGAGAAGCATGAGGGAGGGAGGGTGGTGGTGAAGGGTGGAGAGGGAGCAGCAGGGCTCATGTTTGTCTCAGAGATGGGCTTTAACAGAAATATTTTCCACATGCGATCCTTCATGCCCTCCTTCGTCTTTGTTCCAGCGCTTCGGCGAAGGTGTCTGCAGGTCTGGTTCAGATGCGGAAGAGGAAAACAAAACGAGGGAAGGCGGCGTGCGTCGGGTTACTTGCAGGCAGAGCCCAGCTCTCCCCTGCCTCTCTCCGCTTTCAGCTGCGTTCTTTGCAAACACCATTTGCTGCTCTCAAAAGTGTGAAGTTATTTTCTCCCCATCCTTCTAATCCTTATTTAACCAGGCTGCTTGACTAAGTGCACACTGTCATTTATAGTAATGACCGAGGGGAGAAGCTGCAGGGAACTGCACTCAGGCGCGCTCACACCTGTGTGCTGCCCTGAGCCGACGCGCAGCCGCAGCCCCCAACCTCCGCAGCTTTCAGATCCCTCACAAATCCCCTCACTGCGCAGCTGTCTGCAGGAGTCCTTCTTAAACGGTTTATAGAACGGACCACCTCAGTAAATGTTTTTAAAGTTTTTCCTGTTAACCGTATTAACACCCATTTTAAAAACAGTAAAATGGGACAGAATTTCTTTGGTTGTGCCATAAAAGACACCTCATTAACTGCAGAAAGAAAACAAACCTCTTATTGCCTGACTTTATGTACACTTGTATTTTAATGATATTTTAGTTTTCAAGGTGCAAGATTTGAGGAAAACGCCACATTGCATTATAATCATTGAATACTGAGATGGAGATTTTGATCTGAGATAAACCCAGATTTGAGCCGCTGCTTTTTCTTTCTCTTTATCACAATTCAAGCTGTGTATACCAATAATATGAGATAATTTGATTGAATCATTAAAAACTGCAAGTGACGTTGTTTCACACCTATTAGTAAATGCAAAATTTTAAATAAAAATGCACCGATGGGGAAAAAACAACTTTTTTCTAGGTTCTCTATTTGAATTTTTTGAATTTAAGGTAAATCCATATCCTCCAGCTGCATTGCCCCTCGACTCATATAATTGTGATTTCTATACAAAATCACAAAATAATTATGAATCATTTGCGTTAATAAACAAGCTGATCTAGGAGTCTGCAGTAATGCTGAAAGGAGCCCATTTTGATCGTTATTCCTGCATATTTACCACATAACTGAGAGCAAACTATCTTCTGAGTACCTCCAGTGGTGAGAGCTGCAGGTCTACAGAATAATATTCACAGAGTCCAGGGTAAGTAAAATGACAATGAAGTGGATTTTTGCAGCTCTTCAATGCTCTCTCTCAAACTATCAGCATTCTGTGTGGCTCATAATTTCTCTCCAGTTAAATTTTCTCCTGCCAGGCTGAGGATTTGTACGGCAGCCTTCAGGGTCACGTTCTGCTGTCGGCGTCACCCCTCACTGCATAAAATGACTTTGTTGGAGCAGGGAAGCACTTTGCAGTGAGTGGTGCTGTAGAAGACGGGAGGAAATGGCTCTGCTCGTTACACTGAGGGGCATTAAGGTGTGAATCCCACCTTCTAAGCTTTGGGGAATCCGGGAATCTGACTGGGATTAAGCTGAAATGGTCTTAACGCTGGGGAAGCACAATTAGCAGAGCCGTGTTTTTGATCTGCAGCATTAGAAGGAGTTTCTGCTAACCCTATTGCCTCCAAAGAGTTAATAATTGGTGCAGTTTTTAATTGTTACATCATGTTTTGTTCCTAAGCATGCGTTCTGTATTAATAAAACCAAGCTGTTTAGGAAACCTTTAATCAAAATGAAGTTATTCTCAAAAATCAAGCAGTAAACTCTACCCTCCACGTGTGAAAAAAATTCAAAAAGCTGCATTTTAATTAATGTGTGAGCAGTTAATTAAAATGGATGCATCTCACACAAATTGGAATATGATGGAAAAGTTCATTCATGTCATTAATTTGGTCTAATTGCTGAAACTCATGTACTGTAAGGATTTATGACACAGAGAGTGGCTCGTTTCATCTTCTCTGAAAGTTGGAATGTTAGCTTTAGACCAGGGGTCCCCAAACTACGGCCTGCGGGCTGGATCCGGCCCGCCTCCACATTTGGTCCGGCCCCCTGAACAATACCAGAGAGCATTCAGATTTTTTCTCATTTATTGTATTTTCCGGTTTATATGTGGATTTTTCTTCAACCACCAGGGGGCTCTTTAGCAGGAAGTGTGTCCTGTAAATTGTGGGGCGCATTACTGCCATCTGCTTGACTTTTATGTTATTTAATCAGTACGGTTGTTTGCTAGCTGTAGAGCAGATGAACACACGTGTCTGTTATGAACGCTGCATTCCAGGTTGAATTCTTCGAAGCGATGCCTGTAAGTAGCAACTTATACTTCAAAACGAGTCTTTATGTTAACATATGAGAAATTAATATGTTAGAGTTACATTCCCTCAATGGAATGTATACTAGTCAGTCCCAGTGACCGTTTCACTCATGGGTTTTGCCCATGTGCTTTCTGGGTAAAAATCAATCGAGAAACGCAGCCCCCCCCCTCAACAAATTCCGGCCCCCCACACCAGAAGGGAAAAGTTATTTGGCCCTCACAGGAAAAAGTTTGGGGACCACTGCTTTAGACCAATGAAAAAAATGACTTCAGTGCAAAATAACAAAGACTGTAGCAGTTCTGGCTCAGATCCTGTTTGACCTGCAAGTTGTTTTTCCTCAAAATTCTCTCCAGGCTGCAGTTATACCTGCTGCTTGTTCATATGTTCCTACCACACCTTTTCCTTCCACTACATTTTCCATTGATATAAATTCAGAGCTCTTAAAATCAGCTTGTTTGTTGGTCAGTACCTGTCTGTTGGACAAGTTTTAAATCAACATGTGTATGTAGGCCATAACATTGTTTTGTTTCACAGTGTTCTCCTTTAAACTGAATTTTGAGTTTTTATGAGCTTTATGCCATAATGACTACAATTAATAGAAATAAACATTTGAAGTGAGTTTGCAATAAACCAGTTAAAATCACTTGAGCTTTACTATTATTGGGGCATGCCATTAGCAATGCATAAGGAGAGCAGTGAC